ATAACACCTACTGTAAAGAATTGCAGCCCTATAAAACCTGACAGTTTTAGAAGTTTAATGTGGCAGATGTATAGGAAGAGTTACAAAATTATGGCTAAGGATTTGGTTACAAAACAGAAATTAGGAAATTTAAAACAGCTTTAAGAAATAGCTCGCTGATAACATCAAAATTAAGACCAAGAATTTTTTCATATACATTAAAAATAAGGCAAAATATTAGAATAGGGAATGAGCACTTTAACAATGCTGATGACAAGGTTATGTCGAAGACTATGAGATGACTGAGTTTTAAAGTGTTTTCTCCTATTTTGCTTTTACAAGAGAAGATATTAGTAATATTCCTGACCCTGAGCATTCTAAGGGAAATACAAGAATTGACCTGAATCATGAGATATTAATCCCTTAATGGTTAGAAAGTCAGAGATTAAGAGTAGATAAAGCACCAAAGCCAAATAATATAGGAGATCAGATATGCAAGCCTGTGGATTGGAGAGTTGTTTATGTTACTCCCATTTGTAAAGGGTGGGGTGGTGTTGGTAAGAGTTCCCCTGAAAATTATAACCAGTTAGTTCTACTTACATGATGGGAAAATTCTAAACAGTCTGATAAAAAAAAACAACTTTAAAGTTCATTTTGTGAGCTATGATATTATAAATGAAAGCCAAAATAACTTCTACCAAAAGATATCTTGTTTCCTAACCTTCCCTTTTTTTTAATAAGATGTTACTTGCCTTATTAATATCTTGACATTTCTTGAAAAGGTTACTGCTTATGTTGATGATGGTATAGGCGTGAATATGATATATCTAGATTTTCATGAAGCATTTGTCAAGGTGTCATATAAAAGGCTTGTTAAAATATTCTCTCTGTGGGTGTGGAGGAAAACTCATTTGACTCATATAATTGAAAAATGGCAAAAGAGTAGAAAACATAAGGTTGCTAGAAATGGAGACATTTGCTCTTTTTAATTTATATCAATGACAAAGATGAAGGAATAATTGATAAATTAAATTTGTTAATGATATGTCTTTGTATAGGTCATTGGTTAGGCCAAATTTGGAATGTTCAGTCTTAGGCTCCTTACTTTAGAAAGGACATTGAATTGTTAGAAAGGTTCAGAAGAGAGCTACTACGATGATATCTAAGATGGAAAAGTTGCCATATGAAGAGAGTTAGAGGGGATCCAATATAGGTGTTTAAGATAGTTAAGGGAACTTATAGTATTGATACATCATCTTTTTCATATTTATTGATGAGAATGATAATTCTAGAGGACACAAGTATAAATATTGGCAGGGTAGGAGTCATCTTTAGCTTAAACCGTTTTAATTTTCTAACAGGGGGGTTGGCCTTTGGAATGGGCAGGCCATTTCACGAAAAAATTACATCTGTGTGCATTCATTCATGTGCAAATGAATTTGCACATGTGAATTGTATAAGTGCTCTTAAAGTGACTTATGACAAGGAAATAGCAAGAAAACATTAATCTTTCATGCTACAAATATTTGCAACATACTAGCAGAGTTACAAATTTTATCAAAACTACATCCAATAATCTCTAATTTCCTGTCACCTTGTAACATTTTCAATTTGTACTTATTGCTTTTCACTGCCATTTCCATATGCTTCATAAACAATCCCAATAAATCAAAGATCTATTACCATGCTGCTAAAAACAGTACCATAGATAAAACATTTCTGTTTTCTTCAGGAATATTTAAAATGTTAATATGACGTGTGACTGAATATTCCTTTTTGTGTGTCACAATTAGCATGCATGTGCAACCAAATGTGTAAAATTAAAATGACTGAAGTGGATTACTTTCAGATATGGTAGACAGGGTAAATTTAAGGAAGTTTTTAAGGGTAAGGCTCAGTAAATATTTAAGTTATCAAGACTATATTTGAGTCTTTAAGTGGATTGTACAACCTCGATTGACAAACAGGCATTTTGTTATCCCTTAAATATTATCTGGAGAAGAAAAGTATTAGGATTTGAAAAGTTTATGATAAGATCCAACACAAAAGATTAGTTAAGAAAATCACATCAGCAAGGGTTGGAGAAAGATTAGCTGACTAGATTACAGGATGGTGGATGGGAGATAGCCAAAGGTTATTAATGGATAATAGAGTCCAGCCAAACTGGATTCTTGTTACTTTCTTATATATATTAATGATATTGATAGGGGTATTAGTAGAGTTTTTGATGACATTAAACTCTTGGAACAATGATGGATATGTCACTTAACCTATCGAAGCAATGTTCTCTTGATAGTAGTAAAGCTAACAGACTTTCAGGGTGTAATTATAGACATACTGATTACAAACCAAGATGTAACTATTTCTCTGTACAAATCACAAGTTAGGTCTTTCATGGACTACTGTGTACAGTTTTGGTCTCCTTATATAACAAATATTTCAGACGTGAGCTACTAACTGATCCCAAGTATGGAAGGATTATGTTATAAGAATAGATTACACTCAATTTTTCACTTGGAAAAGAAGGGTAAGACTAAGAGGTAAGATTTGCATATGGAAGCACAATATGCTAATATAACAATAAATTAACAATGATTTATATGTATAATAAAAATTATGTTCTATTGAAACATGTAGTATGATCTCTATGTAAAATAATTTTTGTTATCCTTATAAATCATTATTTGTCAATTTATTATTGTGAAAGGTAATGTTATTGAACTTTTAAGATTGTCTAGGGGTTCAATTGGATAAAACTTCTGATTTGTTTGTGCTCTATTCTGAATATAATAGGATGAGAAAACACAAGTTTAAGTTTTTGAAAAGGACAAGGCTCTATTCTTTTAACAAGGTGATTTACTTATGAAATGAGTTGCTGTCAGCAGTAGTGGAGGCTAGCACTTTGCAAGAGTTCAAGAACCAAGGTAATTAATGATTTAATGAAAATTAAAGGGTAGGTTTAAATTTTTTACCTTTCCCAAAAGTGGATGTACAACGACAGCCTTGAAGAAGCAAATGGTCCTTTGCTGTCTATAGATTACTTGATGTTAAGAAGTCTATCACTATAAATAACTTATAACCTGGAATTTGAAACTAATTCCACATCTGACAAAATTTTAGCAATTCCCATACATCATCTAAAGCCCACCCCAAGGCTCCCAACAACAAGGAGCTATTTGGTTCTTTGTGGCAGTCCCTTGCACAACACCTACCCTTGAGAAAAATAAAAACTTAAACTCACACTTTATTTTTCAAGAAATTATCAATTTTCCTTTTGTTATTCTTGTACACTACAAGCCTTTACTACTGCCAATGACAGCTCATACCATAAGGCAATCAACCAGTTAAAAATATAATATAGATGGTAACCCTCTCAATACCACAATTGAAAGCATTTATGTGTTTTTAATAGCAAATCTAAAAGACTTTTAGGATTTAGTTTATAGCCATCTTGATTACAAGTCAAAAGAGGCAATTAACTTTCTGACCAAATAACTAGTAAGGGCTCATTTGGAATACTTTGTACAAAATACTAAATTTTTGAAAGGGTTCAGGCTAAAGCAAATAAGATTATTCTGAGGATGGAAGGGTTTTACTAAGGGGAATAAGTTAAAATTTTCTTAACTTACTGTCTCTTGGAAAAAAAAAAAGAACTGAGAGGTGATCGTATTGAACTTTACAAGATTATCTGTGGAATTAATAAGATAAAGGCTTGTGATATATTTGTGCTGTATTCTGAAGACAACAGGACAAGAATATACAAACTGAACATTTGAGAAAGACATGTTATGCTCCAGTTAACATGAGCTACCATCAGAAATAGTAGAGGCTGCTTCTTTATAAGAGTTTAAAAGGGGAATCAAAAATTTATTAGGTTTATGTTTTTACTTTCTCTAAAGGGTAAGGACCAAATGGTTCTGCTGTCTCTAAGTTATGCAACAATACTCATTAACACCAAGGAAGAAATTTCTTTGGAACAGAAAAATCACTTCAACTCTTTAACTATACATGTTTGCCCCAAAAAACTTTGTATTATAAATAAACACCAAATACCTAGAGATGTTAGAAGAAACAATCAGTCTCTCTTTCTGAAAACTGAATAGTTCTTTAATGATAATAAATATTTCTAAGAGCAAAAATTACTTATCAAATCCATAAATTGCTTTTTCAAAAATCTGGATTATGTTTAATTACTTGAAGTATAAAATTAGCATCAAATGTTATCCGCATTCCACATAGCTCCACTTTCATAACTTACAATTCTTTCAAGTAAAATTTACCATAATAAAATTTAAAGCTGTCCAAAAATCAGTAGGGTCTGTCTGACTATATGACAATTTAAACAAAAGAAATCTGTATATACATCTTAGAAATCTTTCCAAAAATCCTCAGTCTTATGATTCTACATTTAGGATATCTAACTGGCTTAACTATGAAGATTGGCTCATTTTCTCATGTTTATTTGTTTCACTCTTCTGTAATTTACTTTGACCAATAATGGCATAGCATGTTGGAGGTTGAACAAAGATAACTTTCTATACTCATATATGTATGTTATGATTAATATGGTTTTGGGCCTGAGCATATCCTAGTGGTTTGTGGAAGGGAACTAACATCCGAAGGTCTCGGGTTCAAAACATAGTGCTACCAAACATGCTTCGCATTTTCAACTGTAGGTACAATATAAAAGTAACAGCCAATCCCATCCTTCTGTTAAAACTGTACACTTCATGTAAACATAAAATCTTATCCTTTGTTTTACTTTTTCAAATTTCATTCATTTCCTATTACTAGTATTAGTATTACCAATACCATGGAAAATAATTACTTTCCTATTTGACATAATATATATATATTGTAGTATATAAATTACAATATATATACTACAATACAGTTATTACTATATTATATATAAATAGGAGTAATACTAGTTCAACATCAAATTCAAAGCTAAAATAGTGAATAACTAACATAAACAAAATATCGCAAACTTCCATTAGAAATTTCCCATTATTACTTACTTGCTTTTTTTTGAGAATCTGGGTACTGTCTGGATAGGAATTACGTAAACTGGATTCTGCACTAATACTGCATAGTCTTTTATAAATAAATACGTTTTTCGAATGTATGAGATATGAACAATTGAGTTTCCATGAAATATTTAAATAACGCAAACAGCTTATATTTGCCATTTCTGTTGTTTACCGTAATAAGACTGTGGGCCAAAGATCTGTATTGTGCAGTTTCGTAATACAGGTGAGCGGGTCAAGTCAAAACTATGTTTATAAATTTAGAACAATTATGAAAGTAACATAATATTTCCTATTTTTTTCTTGCACAAATTTAAGAAAATCAACGAAACTCGGCATAAATATGTTACTGGAAATTTAGCCAATTATCATACCGTATTTGCTCATGTGATGTTTAGTAACCATTCCAACGATAACGCTATCGGCATAAAAAAGTTTCGCAAATTCCGTTATCTGCATCCTATTTTGGAGGCCTAAACGTATTGTTATTGAATTAAAATATTTTCAGGAGAGTTTTGGTAAGTTTCTTGTTATATTTTTGCTCCATTTAATGAGGTTTTTGAATCAACTTCTTTCATGACTTCTGTGAACGCAGATTAACAAAGAATTGTGTTGTACTATACATATACCATTACCAGTTCTACGAAAATTTTTGCATACATCGGCGTCAGTTTCAATCATGCATAAAAATCGAAATGCTGGGTTTCGGGTGATTGACTAAAATATGAGTTTCACACCCGTTCGCAATTTTCTTATGTGACAGTAAAAGGAAATTGTATCAGAACTCTTGCAATTCGAAATTTCAGCTCTCCATTTCATTCTCAGGTTGTAGCTTACTATCGTACCAGACTTTCAATGTATAGCCTATACAGTTTACAAAGGCTATAGTCTATAGTATAGGCCTAGCCCAAGATTTTACTGCATATTTACAGTTACAGAGATTCATTCATATCCCACTATGGTGTCGACGGTTTATAATGATACTGATAGCACACACCCAAACTGACATGCTTATTTGGATCAAAATCCAGTTGGTGTTTTACTTACGACAAAAAGCTTCAAATTACATTCCTTTTTGGTTTTCTACATGTCATGGCTAACAGTAACATGACAATGTTATACTTATAGTAAAATCTGCAGGGATGTATTTTTCTTATTATTTAACAGGAATGGACATAGGCTTAGGCTTGCCTTGAGAAAAATATATAGCTTAAGGCATGTCATTCGCAATGTTATTATTATAAAGCTAGATCAGAATTGAAGTTATCAATAGCACAATGTGTGATAGAACCCTCAACTTTGGCTCAAGAACATACAGAGCTAGTAAAATCGAAGGATTACAAAATACGATCCATAAGAAACATGTAATGCTGCTACATTGCAGACGTAGGCCTATGTTTCGTAAATTAACAACAAATTTGAAATCCAAACTTTCTTTCTCAGATTGTGAACTGAACTAAGCAAACTGATTTTTATTGCATTACAAATGTGTATATATATCCTATTTGAAGATTTTGTGAAGGCTGTGGAATTTCTACTAAAATAATATTTTAAGTAAGTCAAAAATTGAAGGTCATTGAGGTTCAAGTAAGTTGGTCAGGTATAATCACAGCTTCATTTCCTTTCTATATGGTCATACAATATTACTAGATCTGCATTAATTTTATATTAAAATATGTAAATGCCTTTCAAAGAAAACAAGATGTTTTGTAATTGTTCTGTGTGCATAATCAGCAAATAATACATCTGTATGATACAATAGTTTTTTATACAATTGTAGGAAAGTCTGAACATTTTTTGCACGTTCTTGTTTATATTTTGGGCTCGGTACAGTGTTATCTGTGTAATATAGTTACAGAACATTTGATAGGAGTGAGTGAACATATTGTTACGTCTGTGTCCGTTTGTTAATTTTCCGTAGAAATTCTTTCCGAAGAAACTTCTGCGATACAAGCCCTTTCTTAAATAAAACTAGTTTATTCTTTCCCAATTCAACTTTGCAATACACTTAATTTCCACAGTCACTTTAACTTAAACGCATGCTATAATTCACAACGATTCACGCACTTTATTTAAGGTGCCCGCTTGACTCGATTATCCGTGTCTATATCTTCAATCTCTATATGCAATTATATCCTTGCCGTTATTTTATTTGCCGGCTTATATACTTTAAAAGCGTACATCTCTCGTCTCTTTGCAAATCTTCTAGATACTCATCACGTGTTACTAGCGTCACGTGACTTCCGCTGTCGTAACAATATTAAGGAATGGACATGAGCTCCATGAAGCTGGTCAGTAATGTTCAGTATTATGTTCTGTTAAAAGTCATACACATACACTGACTCTCATTTTAATTTGTCAGCTTATGTAAATATTTATATTGCAATTTAATATTGAAAAAACATCAGGTATGTTGAAACATGATTGAGTCTTTATTTGGCTGAATTAAAGTCTTTTTACAATACAGACCGTATTATAAACAGAAAAGTAAAACAAATAAGTAAAATGTATTTTCATTTTGTATCTGCAGAATACAGCAGTCATGACAGATGTGGACGACGCAATGCAATGTTTCATACACTTTTCTTCTGTCAAGAATGCTGTACATGCCAATTATATGTCTCAGCAAGAAGGAAAATGGATGATTGATCTACAAACTGTAAAAGAAGGTCTGTAAAGTGATGTGATTGAAGCTTTGATTGAACTGCATTGTATGACAAGGTGTGACACAGCAAGTGCCTTCTTTTTAAAAGGAAAATTCAAATCTTTGAAATTGATCCAAAACAATCCAGAAACTACTTAGTGCTTTTAAGGCTTTGGGAGAATCCTACACAGTTGAAGAAGTTTTTAGGTTACTTGAAAGTTAAATTGTAAACTTTATGGACGCAGAGATAAGATATCAGTCGAGGAAGTCCAGTTCAAGATGTTTAAACGGGCAAATAAAGCTAAAAGCACAATGCCTCCAAATAGCGACTCACTTTACAGCTACATTCTTCATGCAAACTTTCAGGGAAGAATTTATAAATGAAGTTTTGTTCAGACGCAAAAGTTGCCATCACAGGAGAACCAAGAATGGAAATCTGAAAATTGACTGGATGTCTTTGTCCCTCTTCCCCTTAAAGTATTATTGAACTGACTTACTGTACATGCAAGAAGAGCTTGCGTCAAACTCTGAGTGCAGATGACCATCGTCGTGTTTCTTTAGGAATATGGTGCACAGACCTGAGCCAGTGTAAAGGATATGTAAATATGAATGATGAAGAAGATTCTGAGAAAGAGGATGAAATGGACACACCTTCCAGTACACAGCAAACTTGAAATAACAATGAAACAAAGATAATTAAGCCATTGTCTTGACATTGTTGTGACCAAATGGTTTAGGGATTGAACTGTACAAGAACTTTCAAAGATAAATTTTCAAATCTGACAGTTTGACTGGGATTTTGTAACTCATAATAAATTGCATTTTTGATAAAAGAGTTAGCACAAAGGATCACATATAAAGTGTAATAGACTTAAAATAAGACCCA